TAATGAGACAGCTTGACGAAAATTATGCAGTCCCGCAGTCTTCGCTCTTGGAACGCGAAATTAATGACGAAAACAGAATATTGTAACGATTTTTAGGCGTAACGACCATAATATTATAATATCGACTACTACTCTTTAACGACATTTAAATCTCTCTTTAGACCAACAAAAAATATTTTCAGAAGTCTAAAAGTAAGATTCATTTAACATTTTTAAATATTTCACGGTTGTTTCATCGGGTATTCTCATAGTATAATAATCATTAATGGAAAAAAATGAAGTACATCAACATGTAAAACTCGTTCGCTCCTGTACACAAAAATACAATTAGCTGGAAAATCATTGGTATACAACGATATAATATTTAAAACACAAAGACACGACGTCGTCATCTTAAATTCAGTTTGGTCGTAGAACACTTGGTGATTTAATTTCTTTTTTATAGTCAAATAAATAAAGTTAAAGTATTTTATATTTTTATGGCATCGACCACCTCCTTATGTTCTCATAATGTGTAATAAAAAATAACGATGACATATTGTAGCTGACTTTTTTAGCTGTGTAACGACGATAGCCATAGATCATAACTACCGTTGAACGTGATATAAAAGAAAAAGATACAGTTCACTGGGCCCCAACCCTAGCTGATGTACTATGAATGCATCCTTAAATAGCATATTTGATGCCAAAATGATTGAAAAACTAGAACGTTTATTATTATTGCACATGAGTGAATGACTGACAATTAGAATAACAATTAATGTGAATTAGCAGTTTGGATTTTAAGTTCATTCATAGATCATAATATTGTATTAATTATGACATCAAAAATTAGCTCGATGGCTATATCCATAGAGCATTGTGATCTTAAGCTTAAACAACAACATCCGACATCGGTGAACAACCACTTGTCATCGTTTTAAATATTTATGATTTTGATAATACCTATACATTGTACATCGTTGTCAAAAATATTTTCGATATTCTAGTAGGTATATATTCGAAGAGTCGAAAATTTCGACGATAAACAAGTGGAAAGTACTCGAAACGGAATTTAATTTATTTAAGCGGTATCTACACTGCATTTATCCCACAGTTATTACGTTCAATTTTTCTTTTCCTTATTTCTTACGTCTCTGGGTTTCATATTCTCGACCGTCTTCGCACTACGTCAAAAGTATATTATAATATAATGTTTATCGCCACAGAGCACTAACAAAGTACTCACGTAACCATACATTATATTGTTTTATAATAATAATATACACACGGACAAGGGTACAATGTGCCCATATACTCGTATATTATGAACTCACGCACAATCAACCCCTTTGCTTAGTTTTGTTCCCCTCTAGAGCAATTTTTTATTACTGAACGTCGTCTTCGTGGAGTCCGAGCTCGGGTGTACATATCAAAGAGCTGTGTGACCAGTGATGAAACGAACCAAAAATAACCCATGAGCAACCGGAAGCCACCGGAGGTGACCACTGTGGTAGCAAAGTCTGAAATAAAATAACGCTCAATCGGAGGATGAAGGTCGCCGGACCCGTTCGATACATTAATTTCGGTGATCGCCTCTCTCAAGACGATAGTAGTCGTGATAATTATGATCTCAGATCGATTTGATAATAATCGCTGTCATCGGCTAGCAGTTCTCCCAAGAATTATTGTTCAAATACCCAAACCGATATACAAACAATCATGGAGATAGCATATTTCCGTCGACTCGAACCATTTAGTATTATGTTAACTAACCCCGTTTTATCATTTAATCGTTGAGTTTATTCAAATTTGAGATTTTTGGAAATGTTGAACACCTATAGGTACACTAATTATTAACGACTGGTTTATTTTTAATTATCTACTTTATTTTTTAAATCTGCACATATAATGTGACACATGAGTTTTGTTTGGTAATATTAACATTTTTTTAGTCAAATGCCATCAATTTTAGATTCTGAGTGGAGCAATAAATGTATTGAGTTTACAATGTCTGTTTTTTTTGTGCTTGTTTTAAAAATATGTATTAGTTGAAATAATTCTTTGATTTTTAACTTCGTTATTTTTTCTTATGGGAAAGTGAATTTAGTTGGAACATTTGTGGAGGTAAAATATGAAAATTCAAATAGTTTCCAAAAGCATAAGGAAAAACAAAATTAAGGAAAACCGGGAATTTACGACAAAATCGATTTCGGTTTTTTTATAGTAATTAAAAAAAAAACCTGTAGATACATGATTTTTTGTCACCAAACATATTTTGTTTACAATATGAACAAATATTTTTTTATAATTTTAATATATATTTATTTTTATTTATTTATTTATAGTATTTTTTAAACATCATTAAATTATAATATTAATTTAACTCTTTTCGATTAGTATTAGTTGTTTTTTTAATTACTATCGATAAACAAATTTTTGTTTGTTTAATAAACTCTTTTCTTAAATATGGGTACTAATATAAGCTTGTATCATCACAATAAACGACGATATGAGCCTTAGATAATATATTTAAAAAAATGAAAAAAATGAGAGTTTACATAAACAACTAACAAAATGATGAAATGGGGGCCGTAATTATGTTTAAGTAAAACAGATAATAATATAATGTAACAGGTCCTCGCAAAAAAAAACATTTACGACTAATTCGATGAAACGTATTTCAATATTAAATTAATAATTTGAGTGTTGTTTGAGAGATTGGATTTAAAAATATTTCAAATAAAGCGCAACAAAAAATATTAAATTAATTAAAAAGCGAAGCGACTCTGCCATCCGATCCGATTAAGGGCTTTAAAAAAATACATATTAAAAAAGGTTGTTTGAGGAAACAAACCTGGTATATGGTGGACATTATCCTTTAAACCCATCATATGGCGTAATATTATAATATAATGTATAATGTATTATGTACTCGTAGTTAATTATCGCATTCGCTGTTATCTCTCGCTTGTACTTATGTAAATAAAGGCGCGCGTGTCACGTTCCCTTGTTTGTTGAACACGGCGACGGGTCGGATTTATATCCGATTTACTATTAGGAGGCCAAATATTATTTTAAGGTCTCGAGAGGTCGAGTTTTCCCGCCGCGTGTCTGTTTTCCTAGCGCATTATCATCATCGTCGTCGTAGTCGCTATACCTGTGCGGTAATAACCAGTCACGCACGGTATAGGATTATAATTTATAATATAATATAATTATTATTGTTGTTGTTGTTATACGATTGGTGGTGGTGATGAGACTGCGAGAAGAGAATAGGCCGAGGTCATTGTGCAGATGGCATTCAATTGTGCCGGGAAATTTTAATTATAAATCAATTGTGAATGTTTATGGGTGAAAAATAAATTATTTTAACTGTATTATGGTCATGGCTTTGCACCCGAATTAACCCAAACCCTTAACACCCCTAAAAACCCATAACGATCAAACACCCGAAACACACACAACCCGAATGATATTTTTTGTACATAACGCACTTAAATATTAACCGAAACCCGAATATTTTTTTTATCTTTAATAAGCAATTAAATAATTGTTTAAAAATAGTCAATAACTTTATTAAGATCAATGATTTTTTTAAAGTTTTTTATTATGTTATATTATGACATAAAAACAAATATGCTCATTTTTTTTCATAGTGTGTGCTAAATTATTTTGATGTCAAATCTAAGACATTTATTTCTTGTCGTTAGCATTTAAACACGTCATTTGTATTTCATCACTCTTTTATTTTTCTTAGATTTCAATACAACTACTATAAACACCCTTATCAACCTATATCAACCCGAATTGTAATGATAATTAACACCCAAACTTTTATTAAACATTTTTTTCCTGTATTTAAATTTTAAACACCCTAAACTCGAATAAATGATTTGGGTGCCAAGACCTAATAGATCAGCTTTGACTGTATATATTATTGCACTGAAATTTTAAATTTAAACAAAAAGGAATTCAACATGATTAACCGACTAAATAAAACGCAAAATAACAGGTATCTATTTTGTTTGATCATGGTATATTCTAAACAACGTGTTACAATTTATAATACTAATAATGATTTTTTTCGTTAATTAATTTATTTAATAGGACGATCAATTTAATTTATACTTGTATACTGAATTAATTGTGATGACACAACTGGTGTGAGCAATACTAATTTAGATGGTCACTTAAATATTTTGAGTGCAATTGGATACTTCGGAGCAACAATAAGACAAACCCAATTGTTAGATGCAGATACATCGTATTTGGAGATGTCTGGTTTTTATTTTTGTGTGATAATAAGACATCTCCAGGTTTTATTTTTTGACTTTGAGATCATTTACAAATTCGATTTTGATAATTTGCCAACTAGCTACTACTTATATACATTGAAGTTGGATCTAAAATACAAAACATATATTTTTTGTTAATTTTTAAAACATTTTATAGTTCTCACTGAAAAATTGTATTGACTGGAGATGTCTTGTTGTTACTCTCAGGTCTTCAATGACCAAGCGCATTTGAAAGTACTTATATTATAATATCGCAGAGCGCACTATAAGGACGTAAGTGCTGGTAATTATTTATTACAAAAATGTAGCCAATTTCTAGTTACGTCGGCCGTACAATAAGCCAAATAGAAAGTTTTGATTATTTTTATTACCTTTAAATAAATAACCTATTAACTCGTAAAAAATACATTTCAAAATATTCAATGATTTGTGATATACATAAGAGTCGTTTTTAACAACTTCTGAAAATAAAGTTTTTAGAATCGATATCCTATGTGACCTTCACAATTTCTCTTTCTTTCAAATAACTAAAAAATAGTCATCGAAACTTGGTATCATGTTATACTCCCGCCTTCTCGCAAAGATAATATTCGTCTCATCTCAACTCCTGACCATCTTACCGTCGCACCCTTCGAGTGATAACTATTATTATTATTATTATTATTATTATCGTCATCGAACAATATATATACGAATATTAACAATAATTTTTCTCCTCCGCAGTGGCGTACCTGAACATGGGGCAGCTGTTGGCCACCATGGGCCGGTGTGAGGAAGCGGAATCCGTGCTGAAGTTATGCGGTTCTCTGGACGGATCGCATTCCAAGGATCCTGTGAACCATGAAACCAGCAGAGTGTCGGCTCTGGTCACATTGGGCAAACTGCACGCTGACCGGGGCAAGTACTCGGACGCGGTGCAGGCTTACAAGCACGCAGTCGCCATACTACCGCCATATTATAACTCTCGGGTGAGCACCATTGAATAATATTTATTGAGTATTTTAAACGTCATAGTGGTAATCAGAAAAAAAAATATATATGAGAAAAAATATCCCAGATAATAATCCAAGCATCGATATGATATTGTTACGCTAAAACAATTAAACACTGTGTCGTCGTTTAGGCATTTACGCAAACTTCTTCGACGTATAGCAAGGCATCAAAAAACATCATCTTCGCAGTCTGAAAATGCTGACTACGTCATACAAGACACCTGTATAGAAGGGAACAATTCCTTAAAATAAGTTCGTCTGCAATGTAATGGAGGAAAACCATCCTTAGTCCTTTAGTTTAATAGACGGCCGAAAGTATACAGAGCTAAATAGTCGCGTCGTCATATGCGATATGCCACTGCATTTTGGTGTTGATAAGTACCTGTGAAAAAATAAAAACAGCGACCTTGTAGTTCTGTATGTTCTTGGGCACAAATATTTAATAAGAGTTATACAAAAAGCACCGTGTAAACAGTATCGAAAACAGCGGCTAAAAACGGTCGGGAATCTGACAACATTGAATCTTTTCGGTACGCCATCGTAATAAAGGAGGAGGTACTTGAAAAAAGACCTATGTAATAATATCATTAAAGTCGAGCGGGGTAAAAACACTAAAAAATTAACACGTGACTCCGACTAATCTTGGGTTGAGTGTTTTCGTGGTTTTTTTATCGTATTATTTATTTATTCAACGCGCCCTTTTTGCCTTTCACCCTTCGTGTTAGCGTTAATAATTAACACAACGTCGTCGTCGTCGTCGTCTGCTGACCCTTTGTTTTCACCCTTGTTCGGTGGTGGGTGTTTTGTATTGTTTTTTGCCGTCCGTTATGATTTCCCGCCATCATCTGATTCGATAAAACAAAACGCCACCACACATGCTCCACCAGCTCCATACCTGTGGCAAGGTATGTGCAAGTCGAGTCTCGTGCTCTGAACCATATTATATACGGCTTTGGTCTAAAAAATTAAGTAGGTAAGTCAAGGACCTTTTTTATCGAAATTTTAATTCTTATTTTGGTGTTCACGTGCATTTATGTATTATTATAGGCATATATTATATCGTGTAGACTGTGTCGTAAATACTTGACATGCGTAACACTGTCAATAGTTTTTACTTAAGTACGGACAATCTTATCCATTCTATGATGTATAAAAAGAAATGCAAAGGCACATAAATCAAAGGTTCTCATCCTGGTCTTCGAACGAAATATTTAGTCCCACTTTAAATGTAGCGCATGAGTTATAAACATAAAAATCTCAAGTTATATTAGACCTACTAATACCTAATCCCGTGGCTTATGGCATGGATCGTAAATTTTTCGATGTAATAATATTATTATTTCGTGTTTTATAATATTATACGCCATAAGTTTTTTGAAACATAATAATATAATATGATAATTATGATAACACGGCGTCCCAGTTAGGCAATTTCACAACACAGCTCTACCGTACTGTCCATTTTTCAGTATCTCGTCAAGGAGTTTTTTTTCTTTTCTTTTGTTGACAAGAAATAAATTAACCTTTTTTTATTTAGGAAAGAACCACATGATAAGTAGGCCCGCGCAATACAAGAAAATGTAATACATTTAATAGGATTTAGTTTTGTAACAAGGCACGACACCGACTAGGCTTTATCCGATGGCAGGGATTACCCAGTAAAGTTTGAACATAAGCTCGCACTAATATCACGAGTGGATTAAAACAATAAATTCCGTGGGAAATAATAAAATTAATTATAAAAGTCCACAGCTCCCCTGCGTACGTAGGTGAATTCTTTAGAGAAATAAATACTTTATGCTGTACGAAGTTAAAAATTAAAAGGTCGAGTATAAACAATGTTTTGTGTTTCGCGTGTACAGTACACTTTTCGGAAATGTTTGATTCTGTTTGCGTCCGTTATTTTAAAACGCTATCAAATAGTTAGAGACTTGGTTGAATACGTTATAAGAACGATATATTTATATATACGTAGACATAATATTATATTGTTTGATCAATGTATAAATTAGTATAATATTATGTATTCAGTGACAAAGGCAACCAACAACAAAGTTCACCAAATTTAAGTCAATCTAGATGCGAAATATGGTTGCGTAAACTTATATCGGGTTAGCCTAACTTTCAAGTTCAAAATGCCTAACCGCGTCGGAGAGAACAATGGTGATATCATATATATTCTTCTAACTCTACGACAGACCGGACGTAACTTTACGGTTACCCCCGGCAAATTTCAAGTATATATATATGTATAATACCACGGTATTAATTTATTAGCGATCTTACGACAGTAACGCAATACTTTAATTGCTATCCAAAACCGACTACTGGAGAAAATGTCGATCATTTGGGTAAGATTTAATTAAAAGATATCGAATAGGAGACGGAGACGTTTTAAGTTTGATAAATAATCTTTCGTACAGAACTCGATCAAATACTTACGATTTAATAATATCTGATATGCCACGAATGCAATATAAACGAATCTAGAACCAAACCCATCCGGGCCATACATATGGACAAGGTGGAGTATATCACAAAGCCATTTTTTTTTTTTTAATAATTGATACGATAAAAAATAATAAAATAATTACGTTACGCTAAATAACTGTTACTATTTGTATAGTAGTAACTATTATTGAATTATATAGTGAGTGGAAAAAGTAATACTCGAAAAGCCGACATTACCGGTCGACAAGCATACACGGTATTTATTTTATAAATTAATTAATACCGTAAAATACCAGCTGGGTGAGTATTGTAATTATCAAGCGGTATCAGTTGTCGACTATAAACAAAATTAATAAATTATAGAAAAAAAAACTGTATACTGAATATAATATATAATTTAATAACCCAATATAGTATATAGACGGTTCGTAACGACAATGTTATTATAAATGTACCGTTTTTAATTACAAAATATGTATAGGTATTAGCTAATAATGTTCAAAAACCTAGGTCACAAGTAGTTCAATAGTTGAGATGATATTTTTGGATATTAATACATCATCTTTACAAAGTTTTTACGTGTGTACAAAGCAGAGATTTTAGATCAAAAGCCGACCAAAATGTACTAATTTTTACGATCAACAGTTCTCGAGCTCGTTTAAACATTACTATTAGAGCCAGTCTTACAACTCTCTTATGTCGAATAATATTACGCATAAAATATATGTGTCAACAAATTTCTAACCGCATAAAAAGCTAACGATGAACCTATCGTTATCAGAATTGTTGTGCACACAAAATAATATATTATAATATACTATATTTTAGGGTATTGAGAGTTTCTGTTCTCAATAACAGTCATTGTCTATCAAGTATAAGTACTTACTAGGTAGTTATTTGTCCAACATAAGTGTTGTCGGATTTTATTCCATTGAAAAAATATGAATTTATAAAAAAAAAGGTAGTTTTTCACTCAAAATAATATTCATTACTACTCCCACTTCCACCATCTCATTTTTCTCCTCGTAGACTCAGATATTCCAAGACTACGATGTAATTGTTCAGAGCGTTTTTCTCACCCCATCTCATACAAACCATTTTAACGGGGAACCGATAAAATATCCAAGTAGGGGTGGATAGCCACCCCTGTGTTCTCTTTATATTCTATTGCGAAATAAAGCCATCTTGAACGTGTGTGTTGTAATTCTGTTTTCAGGTACTGTTCAGTTTGTACGGCGACGCGTTGGCACAACTCAACAGACACATAGAAGCCGAAATGTGGCACAAGGCGGCACTGGAAGTCGGGCCCGACCATGTTCCGGCGCACTTGAGTTATGGGAAATGGCTCTCAAAAAACGTGAGTTGAGGGTTGTCACTATTATAATAGCAGTTGTACGCGTTTTTAATACATATTATAATATAGTCCCATTATTATCAATTGTATTATGAGTCGAGATTTTTTCGAAGAGATCGCTGAAGCGGTGGTGTTACTTTTAATTTTAAACATTTTATAAGATAGCTATTAGATCACCCGAGTTATATAGTGTTATATTATTATTATGAATTGCGAATGGATGCGTAAGTAATTAGATTCTAGTTGGCTTGTTATTTTTGGTAATTTGTTGCAAATAAGCAAATACACCTAATTTGGTATTATATTATTACATCATATTAATATACTTATTATAGGCTTAAAATGTACAAATTACACATTATTAAATTACTATGATGATACAAATATGAAATAATATAATATAAATGTAGTTTGGATGAACAGAATTTTAAACATTGTGGGCAGTCCCCCCCCCCACACACACGCACTGCCCATTGATGACATCAATTATAAAAATCTGTAGTTGTAGTTATTTGGACTATTTTATATCGTAATGCATAATTATTATATATTAGGCAATAAACTTATTGATAAACACTGCAAAAACCTGACGTTGCTCTAATGAACTCCATAAAAATAATTTAGGAGGGACCGGGTGGGAAGGCACATTTACAAAGGTATAAAATTCAATGGCCAAGATATAATTTAGTATAATCACATATTTTGTATTTGCAGTCGATCATAGTCTTAAAATAATATTAAAATATTTATCGGATAATGGATATTATAGGTGAAGCTCAAATAGATAATAAAAAATACCGTTGGACGATTGTGTGAGTAACTGCGTAAAAAAATAGCATTATATATATAATTTTTCACTGTCATGAAAAAGCGACAAAAAATCAGACGTGAAAATTAAAATGATATGGTTAAATGCATAATAAAAACAATTTATCAAAACTATAAATTCAATTTTTATATTTTTACGAAATTTTAAAATACGCCGCAAATATTCTAACATCGAACTAGTTTATAATTATCAATACACCAACAAAAAAAGTCATATGATTTTACTCGATCACATGCGATGGCCATTATAATATTAAAGATGATTTGTATACGTAATACCCTATATCATATTTTATCGTAGCAAAAATTACTGTTTTTATGAAAATAATCATAATAATCATAAACTGAAATATTATTATTAATAATCGTTATTATACTGTGTTGTGATTTTTAAGGACTAAATTTATCGTAATCAGTCGAAATATTGAATGCACAATTCCTGGATTCCATGAGGATCAAATATTCTACTGCGTATTTATAAGTACAACTTTATATACATTTACAATGGACAATTACAATCTAACCGAAAGATATTAATATTTGAACATTTCTCAACAATAACACCACCAGATCACTATAAGTTTGATATTTACATTGATACCACGAACTTTTAAACAATTTATAACTTAGATTGGTTTTTTATTAATATAAACTTTTCCGGGCACGATCATCTAAACTTTATATTATTAATATACAATTTTTTTTACGTTATTTAGCAAAACGTAACAATAACTTCTGTATAGTTGATGAAGCACTATAGAGTCTTTCACTGCATTGACTCCCTATCTGTAATGTGTATGTCGATTACCCTTGTATGCATTATTCGTACTACTTATATATTATCTATTTTGGGTTTGTGTACTAAAAAAATAACCGATTTTAAACTAACTTAATATCCTTTTTTTGAAAAAAAAAGATATAGAAATAACTGTTAACTTAATGAGTTAAAAAAAATAGTTGACTAAGTCAGCATTGTACCAACCTATACATGATCCTGTTTTCCCCGAGACTGCAGTACCTGTTATCACCTATATGATGTTTAAAAGTTAATATTATTATTATTATTATATATAGAAAGGCCTATTTCCTTCTCACATGTTCGTGAAGTTGAGATTTTAAAAAATACGTTTTTACACGACAGTTTAAAGTACTTTTGTTTGTAGATCATTGTATTTGAACACATTTATTTTTAAATGACAATACATAATTGTATTTCCGTGTTCAGAAGCAAAGTACTTTTTCTGAACATTTTTCTGATATACTATAGCGTTGAACAATTGCCATTTTTTTTTCTTTATCTACACCAACCCATAATTTAAAGTTTAGACAAACGATTTTGTGCAGCTCTTCTCATTTGAAAACATATTAGATAGGTACTTTCAAACAATAGTATATTATTATAAATCATTCGATTGGTATATCTTGTGAATGGCGATGTTAAAAAAAAAACAATTCCGACTACCTACTAAATTAAAAAACTTAATCGTCATCATATCGATCGATATAATGTCACAAACCGAATTCGATTGTTACAGATCAAACAGATAGCCCTGCTTTACCGTACCTACCTATACCTACCTTGACCATAGTAGCAATATTATAGAATAATATTATAATATATTTTATTAATATCCTCTCCGTATATGTCACTCGAAAAGGTACGCAAAAATTATAAGTATTATAACATAATATTATTATAGCTACACGAATTTATAAAAAATAGATTTTTTTTGCGTGTGCATACGATTTCGAGTTGTTGTCAATTTTTTTCGCACACATGTCCGAATCGTGTTTTACACTCTATATATGTCCGTTTCCGTTGCGTGTGTGGGCGTTTGTGTGCAATAAATATAATATAATATATAAAACAAATAAGACTTTTCGGGACAACGATAACACGTCCTGACATTACGCGGCACGACCGTTTCGTTTACACGTGTTATGTGTATATACATATATATATATATATGTTACGTATATTATATTATGAGACTAAATATATAATTCGTTTGTATATAAAATGCACATAATATATTATTATTATACGGGTGGTAGGTTTATATATAATACTTATACGTATAAAGTGCATAACCCCTTTCTGGCACGGAAACGTTATTGCATTACTTTGTACTTCCCCCCTCCCCTCACTGCACCCATATTATACGCGTATTATATTATACGGAGTGATCTGTTCAACGTCCATCGACTTTTTTCTATTTAACCCTTTAATATTTTTTTTAAACAAACTCCAGTCGATAAGCCCTCTTGGTCGTCGTCTTTTTTTTCCTCTTAAATCAGTCCTTTTAAATGTCTATATTATAAATTATATTTTAATGGTAATTAATTTAATAATAACAAAATACCCCTATAAGTTGTACAAACATGTTTAATATTCTAAATTGCACTATAATACAACTTTATAATTTTTCATGTTATACGAAATCCGCATTACAACCTAATAACAATGGTTACAGGAGACGTGTAACCAATACTAACCATGTATACACATGATACCTACATATATATGTATTATAATCGTCTGCGATTGATGCTGGGCTAGGGTTAGGCTTGGCTCTTGGGCACACCTATCTTATACGTAGTTATATGTGTAAGTACTTATAATTTTTCAGTACGAAAATAAATTTGAACGACGATTAATTAATTTAAATTGCATAAAAAAATGTATAACCTTATTGATCACATAATTCATATTTTTAGAAATTTCTAAAATGCCAAATTTTGGCATGATTTTAATATTTTATACGCATTGTTAAAAATGTTAAGTGAATAATAATATCAATTCCTCCCTGAAACAGGAAATGTCATTATCGCATACAGTCATTTGTTGACAGTGTCAAACGATTGTCATCGTTGTTGGTAACACACATATTATATTATATAAGTACTATATACACCTATCATCCATATTATATTGGACATCGCATTAAATTGCTTTTGGCCCAAGTAGTCCTGGCAAACACTATCGATGTTAAAACAGTGTATACTGTTTATTCACAGAGATATTATAATTATTATATATACTGTCTAGTCCAACGATTTATCAAACGGGATCCATTGTCACTGTTTCAGTTCACTGCGCACGCGTCCGGTCACGATTGGTTTTAGATCGAAATTCGTGTAAAATCAGTATAATTTTATCACATCGAAAAAGGAAAACTCAATAATCCACTTACATCCATCGTACGTCAAAGAACCTTGCACGGTCACAGAGGTTATTTTGTCGTTGTGTTATTTATATACAGTTGATAAAACAACGAAACGAGTTGGTTTGATAGTAAATTCCAGAATCTAATGAATCTATTAATAAAAGAAACTTAAGACTAATTGTGAATTCCGATGGGTTGAAAAGTGCACTGTCTTAATAACGTTTAAATAATTGTATGTGTGTATTGCTACTGCACTAGAAGAAATAAAATGTGCGGCTACAAGTAGAGAAACATCGAGTTTGGTAGTTTACAGTGTTAGGAAGTGCTTATAGAAAAAAGTTAATTTTTAATTGCATCAGAAGTGGCGGTTGCTTGTTTTTCTTACACAATAAATTTGAGTCAAATTGCACAGAGTAATTTATATACCAAACATTATAATATATAACTTATACACACCAACAGCCATGGGTGTATATTACGCCAATATCGTATTACCCATAATACCTATATTATTAAGATGCGAGCACACTAAGATTTTTTTCCTTATAATAAGGTTATGTTCAGCAATATCAGTGGAGCACAGAACTTTTGTTTATCCGCAAGTCAATATATATAATGAAAACCACCGCCCCCCAACGGCACCTTATATATACGTATACAATGTACATATATATACAATCGATAATCGACTTTATATATATATATATATATAAATATACACTATACACATAATATATACCTGCCTATAATACAGCCCATGTATACATTCGGACTTTTGTGTTTGGATTTGCAGTCGTCTATAGGTACCAAAGTTTGTTTTGTCAAATCGTACACCACCGGGAGTTTATATTTTCATCTCCAAGCGCAAATAGTAATAATAATAATAATAAAAATAATAAAAATAAACCAAAAAGGAAATAACAGAAAAAAAAATGTTTTCCTTTCCGACTCACGCCGTGACCTAGTTTTTGACGATGATTAAAAATCTATTGTTCTTTTGTTTGTTTTTCCGGTTTGAGAACTTCGTAGTTTTCAATACGGCGATGATTAAACGTTAAAAAAAAAAAACCGGTGGATCAAAAAATAAAAATAAACTTCACTCGTTAATCCGTCAACGCTCACGAGTCCGACAAACGGAAATAATTCGAATTGTATTCACCGGCGCGTTACCATAATTGAAACATCGATTGGATTGCAGTGTACCTGCAGCTACACGGCGGCAGCGGCGGCGTCTGTCACCATTTTAAAATAACGAGATTACGTTTGATTTGTTTGTTATTGTTTATTGTAATTCGGGTTTACGGCATAATGATATTATAACATTTATTTTTACAAACAAAAGCCAATACCGAAAAGCAAAAAATGACGATAAGATAAATAAACATTATTCGATTCACAATAATATTAAGAAACACGTAAACGACGAGCATGCAGAATCGTCGAATATTGAAACGTATTATATTATTAAGTTCACACATATACAATTTCCAGTGTATAAGTTTAAGAATTTAACATCCAAGTCATCTGATAACACGTCTGAAAACATATTTAAATCTTCCATTACGTTACTAGGAAAACGATTTCCTCACTTTTTTTATAAATTTACCATTTAACCGTCCACTTTCAAAACAATATTTTTAAATTTCGAATAATATGTATTCAGTTTAAAGCTTGTAATGTATAAGAGCCATTTGAATTAAAAACGTAAGAGAGTCGTTTTAAATTAAATTGTATGAAAAATTCAAATATGTTTTCAGGAGTCTTATTCGATTAACGCAATATTAAATATTTATACATATTATAACCATTTAATATATAGATCAACTTTATTATAAATAGGTCGGGAAATACAATTGAAAAAAGATCGAAACTTATAACCAAATTAAACAAAATAACTAATATTCGTGTAACATTGACATAATATGCGTATACGTCCAGGAGCGCTCCTCAATTTTAGTTTTCCCTAGAAAAACTTCACCAAAAGTCGAGAAACAATAATCAACTTACTCGCAATAGTATACACAACTGTCAAGGGAAAAACCCGCCATCTACGCCACCTGTGGCATACGACTCAAAGTCAACACGTCTAATTAACTAAATACCGTAATAATTTCCAACGAGAATGTGAAGAAACTCTACCGACGGGCGCTCATGAATTGCCTCCCTCGAATTTTTTTTTTAAAAAGGTTACTCGAATTTCCTCCCGAAAAAAAGTAGTCGAAAAAGTAGTGACCCTCTTGTATTGGAATCTCCTCCTATAGCTATGATTAATCGATTTAGGTATAACCTTTAATAAACATAATAAACTGAGAAAACAAATGTTAATATATAATAATAATATTTTACTAAGTAGACTGAGCTAACAGTTATAAAAAAAATAATAAAAAGTCAATACATAAAATAATTTAGACCAGTGTTTCTTAACCTTTTTGATATCACGGAACACCAAAAATATTGTTTTCATGCGGAACCCCTTGAAAATTATCTTTAAAACAGAATAAATATTAGATGATATAGATAAAGTTCTTTCGAGAAACCCCTAAGTGAGATCCGTGGAACCCTAGGGTTCCGAGGAACACAGATTAAGAAACACTGATTTAGACGACGTGAAAAATGTCAGAGTAAAAATGTAAAAAAAATTATAAATATTTTAGTATATAGACTGACAGCTATAATAATAATTTACAATAATAAAAATAATAAACATAGTCAATACATAAAATAAATGATAAAAATTTAAGTTTGTTTATTGTATTATAATTGTATCTTAGCTTCTAGGTTTAAATTTATTTGCTAATGCTTTTAAATACTGCAATTTTGAAATTTCGTTCGTGGAAAAGATGAATTTTCATCTATATAATTGTCAACCAAATAATCGGAAAATTGTGTTATTTTGTCATTATCAGGTTTTAGTTCACCAAGATCTATAGCAAAAACGTTAATAATGTTTAGTTAAAAATAACAATAATTTCAGAATAAATTAATGTAATCGAAATTGTACTTCTTTTGGATGCAGAAAAGGAATGCCAAATATGCATGTAAGATATTTTCCAATCTCGTGTTTTTTGAATATTCCGTAGCTAAACCAATTTTTTGTATTTTACGGCACCAAGATTGGCATAAATGAAATATACAACCCTTTATTTCAATTTGTGGCCAAACTTCAAGAGAATGGATTTTTCAAAATCAACAAAACACATTTTTGGTTTAAATATTTCTATGGACTTCACACATTGGTTACGTAATTCGACAAAAGCTCGTTTATATGATGCTTGACTTTTATCCTTTAGCAAAAAAAATACTAAGGGTATATAATAATTATTTTTAAATCCATGTATTGTAAACCATTAGCAAAAAAATAAAACACAATAATCAAAAGTACCATCCAATATCCATGTACATTGTAGTTAGCGAACTTGAAAATTTGATATTTTCATCACACGAAAACATCACAAAGCCATTTTAATGGGTCATTTACCATTCAAAAATTCTTATCTATAAATGTTTTAATCTCAATGGACGATACAATTGTATGGATTTCATTCGCATCTCGTGGCAATTTTGAATATATAGAATTCCTTTCATGATTCATAATATTTTTTATGTAAATTACGTCTGAGCGTGTTAATGTACTTACATTACAATTTTTGTGGAATCCAAACTTAAAACCATTACAGATTAAAATTGTTTTTCCTTTGTCATTAATAACGCTAATAATGCTCATTTTTATAAAACTGTATTACTATTATTTACGTAACTAACTTTGTTGAACGGTGATGACGAACTAATCTTTAACTGATAATTAGTGGTCGACAAGATTGTTGCATTTGACAAATTAATCTGTCAGGGAAATACTGTACATCTTAAAATAATATAACATAAAGGAAATTGATATAATAATCGATAGTATAGGTACGTAAAACTATGGATGATCTAAGTATGCTATGGGAGGCAAGTCGAGTAGACTGTTTGGGTGTACTCGAATTGCCTCCGAAAACATCCGGAGGCAATTCGAGTGAAAAAAGGTTAATTACCTATATTTGATAGGCAATTCGAGAGTCGTCCTACCGACTCTAGGTCGAGATTCTCAGTCCGTTCGTATAACTGCTACAGCCAAGCTATTCAAATATCTCAAACTTTCTAATCTGTAACATAAATTATAAAATTGTATAATGTTATTTACGTATCCTAATAGTTCAAGTTAAACAATGCAGCAGTATTTTATTGTCTCCAATGACCTATAGGTATGCGTTTAAAAAAATATACAAAAAAATGATTAAATCCGTCATTCATAACATAATAACACTATCAAGCAGATATAATGTACACATAATATCATAGTATCTATATTAACCTGTAACCTTTGTCCTCATCAACAACTGTTACTTAAGTCGAAAAAATGCAAATAAACGATATATTAATATAAATTATAATATATATTTATAAATGATGTATAATAATATCATACTACAAAAAAGCTTTGTTTTCTTAAATTCTTGAATAATTTTTTTTAATATTATTATTATTATTACTTTTGTTCAACGAGTGATTTGCATAACAAATGTATTTCAGAGAACGCGTATTCACGAGGCAGAAAATTGGTTTCTACGGGCGAAAAAATTGGCTCCCGGTGATGCGTCCGTGTACAAACATTTCGGTCCGTATATATTTTATATTGTTCATCACGCAATAACAACAGCAATAATATTGTAACCTAACCTTTCATTCTCACAGGAGTTTTTCTGCTGGAACAAGAACGGTACCCCGAAGCCGCGTCGCAGCTGGTCGAAGCAGTCATGCTGGAGCCCGAAGACTACGACCTGACAGTGACGGCAGCCACCGCGCTCAGGCAGGCGGGCGTGTCGCTCAGGGCAGAGGACATGTACAGAAAGGCAGCCACACTCAGGCCACAAGTACGACGACCTATAATAGTTATCGTTTATTTATTTTCATTTGATCGGATAATTTGTGAAGGATACAAAATGTATCGGATAAGTACTATACGTAATAGAAACAACGAAACGAAAGTTGTATTTTTAAACTGACAACACTGCAAGGGTTTGCAAGTACTTTTTTAGTCGAAATCAGACAGACTCGGCGGATATTCTTGTAGGAGAATAGAGAACCATGTCCATGTGCAAACTAAGTGCAACGAGATTCTAAAAGTATAGATATAGAAGGTATTAAATGGATATAAATAATGGTTTGAATTTTTTTTTTTATTATTATTTATAAAACCGAAAGTGAAAACGAAAATTCCATTAATTCATAGTGAGCCACGCTGTTTACGCAGATTTTTAAAACTCGTATAAATATATATTTACGTTATTTATAATAATCCGCTCACTTTATCCTTTACCATCCTCGTAATAAATTTAAGTTCGATTTTTATCGTCAACTATAACAACTCGACGGCAACGGCTGTAAACCCGATCGGGGTGCATAAAATATAATTTAATACCGCTTTTTTTTTATATATTATGTTTACATTTGACTTAACGTTTTAAATATTTCACCTAATTCTCCTGATGTTGACATTTTTTTTTATCACTTAAGACTTAATGTGCTCCCCGGCGTGGAACGGGGAAAAATATTCTCGCGTGTGATCGATCGTTGGAATTCGAAAGAGTGGCTGAAACGTTCTGCAACGAACCACACCGCTGGCACACGTATACACTTAGGGGAGGTACACAAATGTGCATTAAAATGCAATGTCGTAAATTAGTTTTTTGGTAATACTTTTGAAAAACTTGCGTGCGGATGCAGATATAAGATATTATGAAATACCTACAGGAGGGAATGTACCGCGTTTTCGGGTTCTATTTATAGAGTTTCGCGAATTTGAGCTTTGTGCCGTGTAAGCATTTATTCTCTCGGCGTCTGTTTATGTGTACGTGATTTGGAACGTAGCCGAAACGAAAATCCGTACGATAAATAAATCATCACGAGGGTAGGTCTGTATTATATACTCCCGCGCACACATTTACAGGGCGCTCGCCGATGGTCCGTGATAATATTATTATTTTAATAATATTGTAGTATTACATAACGGTCACCGGACACGATAAGAAGAAGAATATTATATTATGTTGGATATATTATTTTGTTTTAAAAACCATTATATGATAGAATTCGAAAACGATTCGGTTCGCTTTGTATACATACATTGTAAGACAACGTAATTTATATGGTAACAGCTACATGGACAGACACAAAGTTGCGAGCGATGGCATGAAATGATAATAATAATAATAATAATAACCTCTAAATCCCAATAATAATTAAAGGACATCGCCTCCATATACGTTTTGAGTTAATGATTTTTAACAATAATTTTTAATAATATTGTAATTATTACTAAAAACTAGATCAAGTGACATCGAATTCTGACATACATACACCAACTACGGATTATATTATTATTTATTCTAATGTGGCTTTATTAATAGGTATTTTCCCCTCAGATATAAGTCGTGTTTTCTGTGACTTCCCGCTGCAAGATTTTTAATTATTGCCTGCGATTTTGGACTTCAACAGAGGGCACAAAATAGCATGACAAATAATTGATAATAATCCACGTGACAATGTCGTTGACTTTTTAACAACTAAACGCTTAATATATTGTGTTGATAATATATGAATATATACATTTATAAAATATCCTCGTGAAACAAGTATTAATAATAACGATTTCACACTCAGTTTATCTCTCTCGATCAGTTAATTAACTGAACATTCTCACCCTAGCTTTTCTACTCTCGGTAGTAATTTTTTCAAATTCTCATTTTTGAAATCTTTAAGTATATTTTAGGGTCATATTATTTTCAAATGTTTTAATCTCTAAACCGTATAAGTGTAATTATAAACCACCTAAGGTATGTTATCCTGTAACAACACTAACTTATTTCTTTTTTTATAATAATAACAAGCCTTTTTCCTGTAAATTGTTAAACAGATGCATCTGAACATGTTTATTTTTAAAAATTATGATACAATCGATGTATCTTTATAACATTTTGAACGAGTTGTTTCTGAGTTATTGAAATGTATATAGGTATTAGGTTCTAAGAATTATAAATTTATAACCCTTGAAAATTATGTTCTAAAAATATAATTCATACTATAAAATATTGAATCCAGTAAGTATTTAATTTACTCGAACATTTTTTACAAATTATAAAATGTTGATGAATTGATATTATTTAAACTCAAAATCATTATAGACCTCATATTTCAAACGTATAATTGTCATTAGTACATAAAATTAAACAAACTAAAAAACTACTCATCCAAATTTTGATTTAGCTGCATTAACATTTTTAAAAAGGTCATCTGATTAACAGTAAGTTAACAAATTGAAGGGGTGATTCTCTTTTAAAAAAGAAAGAAGTTGGCATTGCCGATAACACTCACTTTTCAAATGGTGAGACCATTTAAGTACTTGAAAAGATTACTGTCTTAAGTATGGTAGAAGTCAGAGGTCACATTTTCGAGAAGTATATGAAGATAGTATTAATATAAGACAAATCTACGTGTCGCATGAAGTGATTATTGATAAACAAACGAGTGCCAAAATCAAAAGAGAAATAATTCGGTGGTAAGGTTAAGTTAGTATAATTATAATTATAATTATTAGTTTATTATAATTATATGCATTGAGATTTCACGATAATGACGTCTGATGAAGTTTTTACTCTATTTTTATTCGTCCAATCCACTATAGACGTCAAAACACATAATCTTCAATAACTTTTCCACGTCGTCGTCGTATCTCTTATTGTTATAGGCCTGCTGAACTACTTGTTCGTCGAAAGGATGAGTTCGAGAAATCATCTACCGAGTCGCAGTCGATAATGTATAATATTATATTCTGACGTGTTTTACCGGAAATGCATTATTTTGTATAGCTACCGAATATTATTACGATAATCACGTTTATGGACAGCGTCTGGAATTATGACTTCTGCAATAGTGGAAGGACGGCCAAGTCCGGGGGACAGCGGAGAACGGGGGCGCCTGGCCAGAGAAGAAGATTATGCGGAAATTTCGATTTCGCCTGCGACGAACGGTTTAATTGAAAACACGCCTCTCTTCGGGTTTAATTCAGACGTCCGAAACTATCGTCATTTTAGCCCGAATCGAGCCCCTCCCCCCTCGCCCCCATAAACGAATTGGTGTGGTACAGACGTCGGCGACAACGTTGTTAACCACTACGACCGCCGATTGGGACGAACACGACTGCATTCTACCAGAGAGCCATCGTCACCTATGATTATGTAAATTATAAATGTGTGCACTGTGCTGCAGTGTATACAGCGTGTGTGTATCCTATATAATATATTACATTGGTATACAGCCCATTTATACCACATAAACATAAGCCACTGCATACAATACAATGAAAACCATTGACAATGAGTTCATATTGGTGCTGCGCTTTCCAAATATTTTCTAATCGGGTAATAATAAACAATAATATTATTATAACTACTAGATTTCTAATGTTTTCTCCATTTTTCAAAATATTTTTTACGATTCTGAGTGGATTGATTAACATATTGATTTTACAATGAAGAAGGTTTTTTATTTTTGTATCTGAAGACATTTTTTGTACCAAACAAATCGACAAAATAGGCGCTATAAGCATGCCCTGTCCCAGATTTAATTTTACAGTTGCATAGCCCTCCGCCAGGACTGATAACTCTGCTAATGCATTTATCTATTAATCAAAATAAATCTAATCTGCTTGAGAGTTTAATATGAAACACTAAACATAATATCGTCAGCCATTATATGGTAAATGCCGTAACTCCAAAAAACCAATAATTGTCACCAAGAGAAAAAAACATTTTATTCCTCTCAATCGAGATTTTTCGACCCAAAACTGATTATTATTCGACGTATTAAATAAACGCATAGTAATTTAGTAGGTACTAAATTCGTCCGTTTTGTGTTACCAAAACTATTTGGTCTTGTTCGTCTAAAATGTATTTATTTTGCGAAAGACGAGATTTTGTCCAATAATGTTATCGTAAATACTCATTTTATGGGGATACGCTATTTATAGCCGTTTAGGAGATGCGACCGTTTTGTCTGTGTTATTTTTCGGAGTTACGATTATTTCGTATAGTTTGACATGTATTTCTCGTAAGAATATAATCATTGGAATATTATTATCGACAAATATGACATCATCCCTTGCATATATTTTTTTGAAGTTACGTCCTTTGCGTCAAATAAGCTGATGCGATATGGGTGTCGTTCAACCGGAAAAATCGTTACGACAAATATATCAATTGTTTTTTTTTTTTTGTCGGAAGAGTTTTACAGTCCTAAAATATATAGTAAATACCAATATATATGTATATATTATATTTATATATAAACAAATTCTGATATTTGTCATTTTTCTCCCGCAAAAACTGATCGATTTGAATATATTATCCATACACAATACGCCATATATATATATATTGCAGATTTACGTAATCGGATCGCCCCGTACATAATATAATATAAATAAAAAATAGTACACACAATAGACAACACTATAAATATAATTAAATATAATAAAAAATAGGTCACTCCTACACGACAAATGTACAGCGTGATACCTCTATATATATATATATACCGGGCACTCTCGGTCGCTGACATTTCGTCCGCTTTTCGGAGGTGTCCGCTGTTCAGAGGGTTCAGTTTGTAGACAGTTTATGGTCGATTCCCAAGAAATCCGCTGTTCAGAGGTCTCACTCACTTCACGATTATTATGATATTTGTACGGCGCATGCGCGTGCAGACATCATCGGCAGCAGAAACGTACGACGACGTGATAGTATCGCGCGCACATTACTTCGGATGGCGCCGAGCAGAGCAATTCGAGAGAGCTCGGAAAGATCACGAACGGCCGATATCCTCGACCCAGCCCCGTCGATTACCTAGGTACTGCAGTTATTGCGAAAACAGCGTTTTGAATATTGATAAGAACACGCTCTGCACGATGGTGGTAATAACGCAGCCCCATCGTCGCGATCACATCTCTGTGTGGCCATTAACACATACACGCGATAAAATAGGTACTTACCTACAATATCGAATTATGTACAGAGGAAAACCGTTTGTTTTTCTTTATATTTATTTCTTCGTCGTCGCTTTTATTAGCTCAGTTATGTTTATATTTTTTCGTCGTTCAATTAACTGACATTTTAAGATTTATTTGTCCGGTATTCGTATTCCGCTCGCCATACTCCTGTTGTACGTAGTCTTGACATCTCGTCCGTCGACTGTACTTGCTGATACCTGCATACCTACATTTGAATTTATTTGAAACTTTTAGCTGATTTAGATCGGTATAAATTGTTTTCAAAAAAAAAAATAGTTGATTACACTAATATATATTACGCAGATCACCGAAGATCGACTTGATAAAATAAAAAAAGAGTTCAATCAAATATGGTACAAATCAAACAACTATGCGTTCACGATACACTAAATTTAAAATAACATTAAATAAACTTTATAATGCATTCCACACGATAGTAAAGCTTTACCGAAAGTATGTTTTATTTTATATTTATTAGTGTAAACTCTCCTTATAATAGTCAAAAGATTTTTCAAAAATATTACAAGACGCAGGTGGGCTGAGTTTTATGGAAAACTGCTCAAATGGTTTAACAACATTTACGGTATGCCATCAGAATTGGAATTAGGTATTGATGTATTACAGTGATTACACAATATTACATAATTTTTCTTACGTGTTATCATTTTTATGAAACGTTTAGTGATTTTTAAAAAATGTAATTTTTGCTCATAACCCCTACGTTTTTGGTGTGTATTAAATAACGTTTTGTAGTTTTGTACCCTGCATTTTAAAACTGTAATATATCGATTGGAAAAAGGCAAAAGTAACAAAGCTACATTATAGGTAGTGACAATAACTATTGCCGGATAACCGACGGTTTAAGCTTTGTAAAGCGCTAATGTCGCTATGACCATTTAATAATGATATATTTTTATTTTCGAGACAAGCGATATTTATCGACATAGATACCAAAAGCCACAAAAACAAAATGCCTTTTTTGGGGGTACAACTACTATACAACACGTACAACCTAACCTAAGTTTTGGGGGATATTCGACAAACACATTGCCCTCGGCCAATACTCTTACCGCTTTTCATATTTTTTAATGTTGATATAGACTACACAATAAAATGACGTTTGTTATTCCTTATTAATATTTTTAAATGTTAGCATTCAAATATGTGCTTAAAAACATCCATTCGGTACTTCTAATTTTAAATATTTTGCTCGTGGAAGACATGTTCGATTGCATAACTTTAAACCCAGAATAAAACAGAATTATCGTAGGAATAAACAGTATTCAAGTGCTTTTAGGGTAACATAATATGGAATAGAAATACATAACGACTTCAAATCATAATGCTTTCGCAGAAACCCAGAGTCCCCAAGACGCCAAAGAGAACATGTGAAAAATAAAAGCGCTTGCTGAAAAAACCAACAAGTAAACCTTTTTCACTTTTTCTCGGAATAAAACAAAAAAAATAATTCCCTACAAGTGAATGCAAGAACCATGTAGCCCGTTATTAATATGTATTTTACATTTTACAAATCACAACTCGGTTAATGCCAAAATATATAGTTCTGTTTTATATTTTTAAATTACGTAGGTAGGCAATTTGTTCACGAAAGACAACAATTATATTATAACCAATAAACCTGCAGATAATTTCATATATAAAATAAATTTCATTACAAACTAAAGCGTGACCGATATCGTAACCATGACGTGTCTGTTGTGTTCGTCTCTTAACCGTCACGGGTCTGTTGTGTTCGCAGGACGCAAGCAGCCACAGCAACCTGGGAGCCATGCTTCACCTGAACGGCAAACACCGAGAGGCGTTATCCAGCTACCAAAACGCGCTGAGGATATCGCCGGACGACCGGACCACTCTGGACAATCTCAACAAACTGAGGAACGTGTTGCGGCGCCGGTCCAGAGCGGCGTGATGGCCGTGATAATTTACCGTAATAATATATATGTACTTAATATACGTTAAATAATATGATTATCATTTGACGATGACGACGACGTGTGTGCAGTTTTGTATTTAAGACGTAATTTTCTATATTTTTTTTGCATATTACATATATAAATATATTTTAAAAATATTTAATCCTGTACATAATAATATATAGTACATACCATAAATATGATTAAAGTTTTATGTATTAAATTATATTATATTATTATAACAGTTTTAACATAATATTATTCCATAATATTGTGTAGTGTACATATTATTATTATTATTATTATAAAGTTAAATTTTATTTTACTTGCATATTGTGTCTACATAACAATATTATTATTATTTCTATTTAATACAGTTAGTAGAACCTCGATAGTCCGGAAGAATTCAAACCGAGTGTCGTCTGGATCGATGAAAGTTTTTCTAGAGTACATGGGTACTCAAATGACTAAGATTTTTTTCCATCCCCTTATATTTATATATTACATTTAAAAAAAAACAAAAAAAAAAAAAATTAATACAGTAGGTACAAGATTTATCTAAAGGTAATTATTAGCATAAAAAATCAGTTATCTTCTTTGAGTGGCAGTATCGATTTTCATTTCAAAAAGTTATTCTCTGAATCAAAGCAGCAACAAGATTGCAATTTGCAGTGCTCTCGGTGCGCTCTAATCTACTGTCTATTCTGTCAGTGTTCTGAGTAGCTTTCAGTATTCCCATTTAATGAATAGTGTATTCCGGGAATTCCGGGAATTCCGGTCGAATTAGGTAGGTATGTTCCGTTCGGACTATCGAAGCACTACAATATAATAATATTATGTAAGTACTTATATACAAAGTGGCTGAAAATAAATGGTCTTCTTCAGCGGACCCCACTCGTAATTATTATACGTATTTGAAACTACCGATTTTCTCGGATGATTAAACCGTGAGTTTTCATATTAAATGAAGTCATATAAAGTCTTTGCGGTTTCTAGGAGTGTTACCACACAAAAAAAAAATCATGACGGGCAGCACCTGCATTTGGCATTTTTTTCAAATGCTCATTGAAACCAACGTTTTAAAAAAAACGTGACCAAACGATCGAGATGATCGAGCCCTCGTGTTACATAATCCAATTAGACTCAACTAGTGTTAATATAATACTACGATCCATCTCTTTTATTGGCTGTTCAGAGATAACGTCATAACACCACCTTTACGTGTAACTTTTAATTTATCAGCCCCCTCTCCTCCCCCAAAACTAGTGTTCATAGAAAAATCAGCAGTTTTCGACGAGCGAAAAATCCTTTACCGAATACGAATACTGGATATAAGTATACCTACTAACACAGTTAGACTTGCAGAAGACCGTGTGTTTTTCAACTTTGTAAGTAGGTATAACATTTCTAAAATATATTATATTGTACAAAATCGATAAAATTGAAATATTATATAATTATATTTATTTTCGTTTCCATTGCCATAATCATGATAATATTATTATAATATGCTATATAGTCGTTGGCTTGACGATCCCTAAATGTCACTTACCCAACCCATATCTTATACGATATTTTTTTTTGGTCATCATCCACCGGAAAACCTAGGGTTAACGGAAAGAATGAAAATGAGTACCCAGTATACTGTTTAAACGCGGCCGAATGCGTCGGCGACAGGACCTAGTAAACGGTATGGCACAAAAACCAACGCGACATGAAAATATTATAGGCACAGATCAAACAGGTGGATGTTTATCTCGTTGTAATATTATAAACGTCATGCTCTCGGCGAAAAATAAAAGTCATGAAAGACGAAACCTCGCGATCAATTTGTTCGACACTTGGCGAAGTCCGTCACTCGGAATTTTCTCTAATAATTTCAAACAAGTTTCCCGTTGCGTCTTGAAGACTGTTTTATTGACATCAACGTAACGTGTCTTCAACAATTTTATTATTACTATCATTTTTGTTTTTAACAAACTCGTTCTATAAACAGTAAATTGCCGCCCATTTGTTATAATATTATTATACCTATTCCCAAATTATTTATTTGCGTCTCTGCTTATCGTATCACTAAAAAAAGTCATTTTTTTGGTTTTGAAATAAATACACGCGCGTACAACCGTCAACGCCGTCGTCCAATATCATTCGAACTAAATATTTTTCTATTTGTTGTTTATCACATTCTCGAGAATGGCGCAATTGTACTCGCGAAGTTTTTCTTTCATCATTAATGTGCCATTATTTTCTTTAAATATTTCATTGCTTTGTCACAGTATGAGGGAATATTCTTTCGATAATATTTTTAAGCTAATTTTTTATCATTATTTTTAGTCCACTGCAAGACATTGGTGAGGGGAGTGTTCCTATTTCCTGACGTTTCGTTTTATTTTTAACTGTATATATTTAATACTATATTATTATGACTATGAAAGCGTAGTATAAATTATTATTGTATTATAATATGCTGCGTATATCTCTGTGCGGAATATGTCAAATGATTAATGTTTTTAACTTTTAAGATAGATCTTAACCGACCGGCCGACCGACCGTTTTTTTTCACGGCCGTCTCGATTTATTTTTTTAATCCATTTTCGTAACAAAAATGATTTATAGTGTGTAATAATAATATAATAATTTATTTACTACGACCGCTGCTCGGTGATATCGTCGCTCAACCGTCTGCGGAAAAATACTTTTTGTCGCTTTTTTTTGAAATACCAAAAACGCAAAAACAACACCGTCTCCGGTTTGAGTCAACGATAGTCGATATAATCGAAATAATATGCAGCCACCTCTGTAGATCACAGACCGCAACTTTGCCGATAATGCGATGTAATACACACCTATATGCCCGCCTATAATAATATGGAATAAATTACGATGTCGAGATTTCCGATCATTTTAAAAAGCTTCATCGACATCTGGACTCTGTAAATGCATAATACAATATATAATTATAGCCATATATATTCTATAGATGTGCATTGTGCATGTTATAATATTCATATTAATATAATATGTGATAACGAGGTTCTACCTATATACATGATTTATACGAGTCGCACGAGTGCATAAACATGATAATATTATAAATATATATAAATATATAAATGTGTATGTATGTGACTTAAATTATGTTATATTTAAAAACAAATATTTGATATTTTGTACATTTCGTGTAAAGACAATAAAATTAAGACGTCTTATGATTTTTCAGTGTTTTTGATGTTTTTTTTTCCTTTACCCGTCCGTGATTTCAGTTGTTGTTCTTGTTGTTGTTGCTACTGTTGTAGTCCTCGTCTTCGGGCAGCCTCATCGATTGATCGACGGTATCGCTGTTCGACTGTTGACCGTTCGCAGGTGGCGGCGGACAGCAGTATGGACTACCCTTGACGCTGGTTTTAGAACAGTACGGTGCGTCCGAGTTGGTCACGCAGTACACGCCGTTCACCCTGTATACAACATAAGTGAAGCATGCATATTATTGTGTAGAGAAAAAAAATTGGTTCGTAATATGTTTATTTTCGGTGTTGTGTAAGTTAGGTACTTTTAAAAAGTACCTAATTAAGTTTGCTTACTCGACACTCAACATCGTAATGAAATTGCTTTACTTTTCAATGAGAATGGAGTAACTTTGAAACTTTCTAGTTACAAAAAAAAAAAAATCAGCACACGGGTATTTTTCTAATTTTTAATTACTAAGCAGAAATAGCGTATGGGTATAATTTCAACAAGATGTCTAAAAAAGAAATAAATGTGTTTCGAAGAAATTTAATTAAATAACGTCAAAGTGGTCTGAAAGATTAAAAACTAAATTTTTAGGAGTAAAAATTTAAAACCAAATAAACTCATTATACATTAAGATTTACGGAACAGACTTTTTTCTGGAGAATTTGACTCTTATTCATCAATAATGTGGTAGTTGAAAATCTGATTTTTATAGCATTTTTAAATGTACCTACCAAATGATCATATTTTTAAATTCTTGATATTTTTTCTATTACTTAAGAGTACCCTGTTGATCATCATTTGTTTTTCAAATAAGTACTACCTTTATACTCTAAACTATTTTGTGGGTTATTTTATTCTAAAAATGTTGATGTACCTCTCAAAATCAAAATTTGACTTACGATTAATTTAAGTGTGTGTAGTGAGGATAATTAGGTTTGAATAACCTCATGACTGAAGAAAAAGTGCTAACCATGCTTGGTTTACCACTTCGTAGATGTATAATATTTTGATATTTTTTATTCACAATACATAAAACCGCGGTAATGCTTGTTCAAAAATTACTCAAAAAAAAAATAATGTCTATTACATTTTCGTTATTTGGAATAAATTCTGACGAAATAACATAACGCGTTACAAACAAATAGATAACGACATTACAGTAACGCATTACTTTTATTACGTTACTAGTTACTACCAAATACTGTTTATTTTACGACTTCAGACTATCGTGACGAATCGTTGTTAATAGAAATCGTAATTTCCGCGGAAACATAATCAAACTATATGCGTCACATCTGCTTCAGCTTTTTACATATCATCAGCAGACGGTTTTTTTTACTAAAATCTTAACGCCGATCCAAGCTCGATATAATTCTTGACACCAAATAAATACAAAAGAAACCATCTCAGCTCCTGATGATGGCTGATAAATTGAATAGCATCCATTATTGTTTTAGTCCCGATATCGTTTAAGAAATAATCGCGAGAGATAATATTATATAATATATGAAGTAAGAAAACATTGTTATTTAACTCAGTCTTCGACACAACAATGTATACCGATTCTCGGACAAGCTGTAAATGTGTTTGGAAACGAGACGGAAACACTTACTCGTCGGGTGTGTGTTGGCCCAGGACGACGTACGGCGTTTGTCCGAAAGAGTTGACAGTCGAATAACTCGAACCTCCTTCGCCACCCTGCAAACATCTCCTGGTACACGGTACCGCTTTTCGGGCGGCTTCAGAGTCCAAACTCTCTGCCAGGTAACATACGCTCCTCGTGTGACCACAGAGTTCGGTATCTGCACATGAATAAGGATAACATATTATTTTATTAGATAGAGAAAAAAATGGTAACTATTTTTATAGTGGCCTGCACTTCACGCGAACCTGCACATTTCCCTCAAGATTGTCAAATGTGATTTAACGAACGGGTTTGTGGTTAGAGGGTATTCCTATCACGATTCGTTAGACAGAGGCCGAACCGTACAGGTACGGATCATGTATTGATGCTGTGGTGGTGTTGAGAAACAAGGTAAGCTTGGGGACATACTATTCTCAGAAAAAAATCTCCCAGATATATTATATTAATAAATTATTATATTTTTCTCAATAATATCAGAAATAGTAATTTATTATTTCGTAATGATAACTTACAGCATTTTTAATCGGGAACTTTGTCAATATATATTACAAATAAAATGTGAAATTATACACTTATATAAGTAGGCAACTTCATTTACACAGGTGTCGGGTTCATGTTTTCCCTTGGATTTTTACAACAAAGTATTAACAATATTATTACCGAGTTAAATATAATTTGTAAGCTCCTCCGATTTTAATGATTTGTAAACTCTCCAGATTTAAATTCTCCCGGATCTACATCAGTATTACTTGAAGGGTACATGTTAAATCTCCCGGGTCTACTTCAGTACTACCTGAAGGGTAAACTCTCACGAGTCTGTTGTAACTTCGTTTGTACATTATATAGCCGTATCATTGTAAATACTAAATAGGTATCTAATATAATATGAATATTATACGAAAAGTCAATATTGAGATTAACAGTACCTAATTAAATCGCTTAATAATAATAATTATTTATTATGATAATCACAGTCTCAGTCTAGCTAATTCGCTTTAGCCAACTTACAATTTAAAACTACTCGGGAGAGTTTACACATTTCCTCTTCAGATAAACATAATATCTATTGGTTCAGTATTAGTCGATATTATTTTCATTACTATCCAAGTATTATTATTTTCAAAGTGTCCGGCCACGGTGCAGTTGAATATAATATAGGAGCACATGGGCCCGGTTCGATCCTGGGTAAGACGTTGCGTATAATTTAACCCATAGTGTAATAAGGACCTTATTCCACATCCACGTACTCACCGGAAGAGTTGGAACAGAACGGTTGGACGTGTCCGCCATTCAGACAGAAATCCACGTGCCCCATACGTTTCAAATCGCCGTATTTGGAAGTGGCATGTATGATCTGAACGACGTCCGCGTCCCCAGAATCCAATCGGCTGGACGCCCGGTTACGGATCAATGGTTTTGCCGGATCCACACCTGTAACATGTGGTGATAATCAAAAACCAGACGTTCGATAACACTACCGTGAACAATGAAGAACATACACAACTTAAGTCGTTTTCCTTTTTTGGTACAATTCGAGTTATCGTAATAATCATTATATTACTTACTTGGTTAGGTAAATGACTATTATAGTATCGATAAGACCCGTGTAAAATATTAAGCGTTCTTTCAAAATTCGGTTATACATGACGTGATAGGTACATACCTATGATGCGGTGCATTCTGAACGGCAGGTAGTTGGCCATTATTCCACACAGGTGTGCGCCCAAGCTGTGACCAACACACGTGAGCTGGTCCACGTCCAGTCCGGCGGCTCGCAAATGCGTCAACATGACCGCCATACACCTGGCCACGGGCTTGAGATTGTGCACGGAGGCCGCGTAACACGGAATCGCCGACAGTTTTCCCCAGTCCACCATGAACACGTTGTACTTTCCGTTGTTCAAGTATGCTGTAAATCAGATGAGACCGATTTTTAAAAATATTTTATCGAATTTGGTGTAATCGATTAAATAATAAATATTCATAAATTGTTTATAAGTTTTTCAGATTATTCATACTTTATAATACATTCAAAACATGTTATTTCTGTACCAGCAAAATACCATTTAATATATTTTAGTTTCGACTCATCTTCGTGTATTGGTATTTATATATTAAAATACAATCCACATTGAGGTACGTATGGAATGCGAATGTATTGAAACATATTTTAAACAAACTTAAATGTTAGGTAATAACGTATAATATGGGTGGTTACATTTAATAATAGTAGATTTAAGCATTGCAGCAGTTGCCTTTATAGGTCATCACATACCTTACCGATATTAATATTTCGATATATACGAGTCCATTAAAATTTGAAATAATTTACGTTTTAACATGCATAGTGTCGATGCGATAAAAGTTTATGCAGATTTCATGATGCACTTCACATGTGCGCATCAGTCATAATTTATATTTTACTAATATTTACAGTCGTGGTCGTGTTCCATTATTATTAGGTACCTACCTACCAATATATAGTGTTCAAACGCAAACATTACAGCAGACCAAATGGCAGCTGTAGTACACATAACATTATATATTTTTGCAACTCTGGATAGTTGTTTTTTGTTTCGTTACGGTCGAGTACCTATGCATAATATCATTCTCTTCGAGTTTGCATAAAACGTTTTAAATCCGTTTATTTTATCATCTCGCACGCGCGCAATCAGCGTCGACTAATTTTAACATGGTAAACATGATAATGATAACCACATAATATTATTAATTCGTACACTTGTTTGCGCACACAAGCACTCGTGTTTAAATCCGGTGGATTCATCGTTGCAGTTATAGTGCACCCTGCTGCAGAGTCGTCCGCTTGCATACAGAGTGCATCCATTCAACCAAACATATATCTACGCTTTAATGATTGCCTCGCAGTCCACTTTAGCCGTTTTGGAAAAAAAATTTTCTATTATACTGTCTACCAGTAATTGTTTCATAGAACACATTTTGAAAAACACTATAAAAGCTATCGTTTTAATATTTAAAAAAACGTGTACGTGGGTATTTCCATCTTATTTTTTTTTGTACTGGATTACGAAATGAAAGAAATTGGGGTAATCGGTCAATGAACTACCATTGCAGTAAAATAAATAATAATAATTTCAATAAATTAATGTATTTCCCTTCAAAATTCCATAAATCGTTTGAGAGCCACTTTGATCGATAACCTACTCTATTTGCGCTCAGAAATATAATTCTATCAACCTGGGAAAGCACGAAAATATAATTCAAACGTTGTCCGCATACATATTATGCCCATATATATACACGCGTATAATAAACGGATGTTCGAGACCAAGGCTGCAGGGTGGGGTAGAAAATAACAGTTTAAGGTTGTTTGCCTGAGAATGTAAATATTATGTACGAATATACCCAGAATATAATATTATTGTTGTTTTCCAGCGTTGTGTGTGAATTTTCTATTCGCTCTATTTGTTATTATTTACGCGTCTTCCGTTAAATATGGAAATACCAAAAAGAAAAAAAGTAAAACCTTTCTTGTACACACATAATACGCTATGTAAATAAGTGATACTTATCAAATTTTTTCACAGAATACAAGTTAACATTTGATGTAATACCTATGTTTCGTGTATTAGGTTTTCCACAAGGAGTGAAACATTATCATACGCTTTATAATAAATTTAAATTTTTCAAACTGCAAAACTCATCATTTAGGTGGTTTATAAGTCAGCTGGTACTTTCCCTGTACTCATTTTTCTCACTCGTAAAAACATTTAAATCGCTCAGTGGCCGTAGTGAGATAACCACACAAAAGCCAGACAATATCCAGAGTGAGATGAGCAAATTAATTCACGGGCTTTCTTATTTCCAAGGCCTCGGAGACTAGAGAAATAAAACGTGCTAATGAAAGAAAGAGAACGAGAGGATTCTAGTGAAAACCAACACACCGCACTCGAGTAAAAATAATTACGTCAAATGTGTAGGCTTCAACGCGGTGACGCTGAAGCGTGCTCACATCTCTCTACACCCCAAAATGGCTCCCCTACCAATGTTCGTGGCTGTTAAACAGATTCCCAAAAGTAATCTCAAAAGTCGAAACTCGAGAGGGACGAACAAATTGAATTATTAGTTTATAGACCATAATAAATGCGCGTGGCCCATCCTGAAAAATAATACTGAGGTTACTTAATAATAATAACGATGATTAAGCGACTATATAAGATAATCCGTTTGACTCATTACACTAATTACTTTCTATCAATTTTGGTGGTTTAAAATAATAATGTTTTAGATTATGGCAATATTGATTTTACAATAATGGTGTTTTTTGTTAATATGTTTATGTATAAAAATACTTTTTCTATTATACTAAAAGTGACGAACCATTGACTTGGAGAAAGGTTTCAGGTAAAAATAACAGAATCTAATTTGTTTTTTAGTGGGCCAATAGTAGGAATTTTTTAACCTTGATTACCAACAATTTTGTCAATTTTACAGTCTGTGCTCTGAATCGTTTTTCTACGTATACAATAATGTATCATTAATCTTTATAATGTATAGTATTTGAAATTAAGGCTTCCTGGAAAAATGGTAAATAAAAAATTTCATATCGGCAACAAATAATTGTTTATAATAAAAAAAATGTTAATGGTTTCCAATATTAAATGTTTGTAAGTTATTCTTGTGTTCAACACTTCTAATTACAAATAACTGCGAGTGCTGCAATAGTACTCGAGGACGAAAGGATAACTTCTCTACAGAGGGTATGAAACGAACGTTCATCGCGGTCAAATATTAGGTTTGTAACGAAAAAATAAAAAATAAAAATGTTCAATTTAAATGAATTTATTAGTGACTATTGTAATACGAAGATAAAACGAATTGATTATTATTTATTACCATAGAAACGTTGTGGTCAAAACAGATGATCGGATTTTGCCAGCCGGCGTCTGATTGGTTCTTATACACAATATACAGTTAGGTTGAGGTAAGGTTAGGTTAGGTTGACTTTTTCGCCGGCCGGTCGGTTCGCCAAGTTCGCAGGATCCGGTATTTTTATTGGAGGTACATGACGACCGGACGGCAAAATCCGATTGTTTGATTGGACGCTCAGTTTTGAGTAGGCTACGGCCGTGACGTTTTTTGGTCGCAACTGCTAAGCCCACGAATCTGACTTATCCTACCACTACTAAAGAAGTTATTTACTTCAAAAATATATGATAACAGTATAAATATTTGTTGTAATATACTATTTGATACATTGTTTCGGTAGAAACGTCGACGACAAAGGTCAAGGTGAGTATATTGATACGTTTATGACTCATTTATATATTTGTATAATTATTCATACCACTGGCATGATGATGGCCGAAAAAAATAACATGAGTTATTTTAAAATTTTTGAATTTGTTGAGTCTAGTCGCCTCACATATTTTACACCATCACAACGCCGTCTTTGTCTTCATTGTTTATTTAATACATAAATGTCCGTGTGTACCGTATGTTTTGTTTGATTAAATATACCGTTTACTTAGTTTACTATTTGAGTTTAAAAAATATATACATTTAATTATAAGACTTATAAGACATATGAAAATAAATTAAATAGTCTCCCCTGACTTACTATTAGCTCACTAATAATTTCTTCAAATATTTATTATAATTTAAATTTAAAGTACTTTTTAGAATATTAAATAATTGCAGACGAAATATCTAACTTTTAGGTTTATTACTTTTATAAAAAAAAAAAATCATAATGTTTTAATTAAATTTAATTAAAATATGCTTCGCGGTATTTTTTCAGCTATTATGACAATTAATATTGTCTTCTTCGTCAATTATTGGCTTTTTTTAGAAAACGTTTCTTACTCACTTGCATCAACTATCCAGTATTTCATGAAATGCAAGTTCTTATCAATGAATTATAAATAAATCAAAACATACATTTGACACATTTGTTCACTCTAAATTAATAATTCATTATTGTATTAATTCTATTAAAGTTTATATTTCGTTTATTGTTTTTCAGCGTATGTACATCTCTAACTGACATCCTAAGTACTTATAGTTTTATTATACTAATTTTAAGCAACAATAGCATTAATATATTTTAATAACTACAAATTTTCGTTTAAAAGTAATTTATTTATAATGCCCAAATATGTAGTTTAAGTTCAATAAAGTAATGATGCGTACGATATAAGCATTGGCCAGTAAATTGAGACAAGACTTCAAATTTAATATCGTATGTTAGTAACTAATTACAAATTTATAATAGTAAAATTCCTTTTAAATATGATATTATGTATTATTAATATTAATGATGAATACAGTTAAAAGAAAAAAATGAGAAATTAAATTTAAGTATCAAGCGTTAATTAAAAAAAAGTAATTAAGCATTTAATTTCGCGATACTTGTAATACGAGTATCTAATAACCATATAATACCTATATTGTATACTATTAAAGCCAGCGCATCTTATAAATATCTATATCGAGTGTCTAGTTCATTGGTTCTCAACCTTTTTTGCTCGCTATCACTATTGGGGATTTTCTAAAAATCTCGCTCACTCTTTAGTCTATGAAATATTGATAGTAAGCATTATGCTTATATTTTCAATAACTACGTGCAGACAACCAGAAACTGAATTCACGGTCGAAAATTACTGACCTAGGCACACATTCCGATATGCATCTCAAAAACCGTCCCGATAATGGTGCGGTTAATGTATTAACGAAATAATTATCAGTACACTAACCGTCTCTTAGCACCGCTCCTGGCAAATAGTCTTGACCCGCTCCACCATATCCGTGCACAATTAACACCGTGTGCAGCGAACGGTCCCATCCGCTCGAGTGCAGCCAAGCGGGTGACGTGAATTCGATTTGTTGCTTCTGCATTCTCGAATACCCGTCTCCTCCTCCTCCACCACTTCCACCGGTGTTTCTGAAATATGATATATTATTATCGCATTATGTAATGTTTATAAATTACGTGACATAAGATTATTATAATGATTATAAACCTTCGATGTCTAAACGGTTTATTTTCTGACCATAAGCTATATTCAGTTTAGTATTTCCAAAAAGTATCCACCCCAGCTATTATTCCCATTCCAAATCCATATTTTTTCAATTATTTTAGAAATGTATTGATTTATGAGAAAAATCTGTTTTTAATGGAATAAATTTAAAAATAAAAATATTCCTGTAGGGTTATTCTTCGTATGGAAAGACATTGGATCACGAAGACATATCTTTTGAATAATTCAATATAATTATACAATTATTGTAAGAAATTCAAAAATGAATTTAGTTTACTACTACCTATATACTAATCTTATTCATGAGCCACCTAGCAACTGGAAACATGTATAAGTAAAAAAAAGAGTCATGCGAATACTGTCGGAAAATAATTTAAAAAAATTTTATACTAAAATATTGCAAACCATTAGGTACCTAGATCTATTTTAAAATATTGTTTTAGTAATACATGTTAATTAAATAAAAAAGTTTTAATTAAAATTAAAAACCAACATTGTCATAAACAAAATCTTAGTAATTTTAGACCACGAATCACTGTTGAATGTAGGTAACACGGCTCATTGTATAGGCAAAATAGGTACATTCAAAACCTACCCATCATAATAATATAAATATAATAATATGAGTATTCTATGGTAATCTTGTATTTATATTTTGTATCTATATTATGTTTATTTGGTATATCATCAAGGAGCGAATTGTTATTATTTAAAGGTTTAAATAGTTATATTCTTTTTAATTAAGTTTTCTTTTTTAATTATTTCTTTTAACATTTGTTACAACATAATATAAAATCTTTAAATATAATTACAACAAGCATATTATGCGCGTAACGATATACTGGAAATGAATGCTTGAGGAGTGTAGCTACCCAGTAATAACACTCGAAAAACGAAATTTCAATAAATTAAATTCTAAAATAATATAAGTACAATAATTGGAAAAACAAATGTTTTCTTATTCCATAGACCTCGGTATAATCCGTGTTAATTAAAAATAATAACAATATGACTTTGCTTTAAAAAAACAAAAAATGCTGGATATAATGGACATTTTTCGAAAATATGTCAAATAAAACAATTATTTTTCTCCATCGATACACGTGTACACAAATCATCTGCATTTAAAAATAGCTTCAATCATAACGTACGCAGTTGCCATAACAAAATTGGCAATAATATAATTTTTAAAACAAATTTAAAAAAAAAAAACATTGAAAACAATTATTATAAAAAATTATAAAAAATTTAGATGACCACGGATGTTTAAACTATATAATGTAATGATATTTCTTGTTTACGTGCCTTTGATGAGGTTTCTATAGATTTCTTAATATATTTTGACATCAATAGCTCGTTCAAAACCAACTTTGTTCATTCAAACACGAATTTTGTCAGTTTTATCTTTGAAATATTTTCGTTCGTTGCAACATATTTTGTCTTCGTAATATAATATATCACTAAACGCCGTTAACGAAAAATAAACCGTTCAAGGTTTATTCTGGTTAGAAGCTGGTCATACACTATCGTTACAAGCGCAAAATATTGGAACTATTTAACCTTATTATATATTTTCGACAATTCGATCAACTGTGATGCAATAACAATTATTACCAAAACAGATTTGAACTCTCGTCTACTCGAGAAAGTGGAAAGGTTTTTGGTGTTATTTCAATACACGACGTATGCCGTAGTATATACTATATAAACCAGTTGAAACGATTTGCAAATTTGTTTTCGATTTATTCACATGTTAAATACGAGCAGATTTGAAAAAAACAAACTACAGTAGAAACCGTTTATAATGACACCGGTTGAAGTGACTTATTGGGTGAAATGACCTTAGATTGAAGGTCCTCGCAAAACTTCTATATTATGTGTACTAATTTGTATCGTTGATTATGATGTCTATATAATGAATATAAGGATGTTATGACGGTTATTAAAGATTATATTGGAAAAATATTTTTTCTATCATGACTTTACTTTATCAAAGATGAATGTAATAGATACAACCGATAATACCGATAATTCCATCGTTGTTTCGTCGTCAGTGTATGGATAATTGTTGTGTGTTTGAATGTGTTCTGTGTTCGAGTGTTGAATATTGTGGAATTATAAAATGAGCAAACGAAAGTTATTCAAAATTGAAGAAACAGCAGATGTCATTTTTTGTTTAAAAAAGGTGAAAAAAATGTCATACCTAATGAATTAGGTGTAAGTCACTCTATGATATCTAACATATTTATAGCTCGAGACAAAATCGAACAAAAGTTTCAAAATGAAAAATTATCAGTTAAGAAACTTTGAAATTGTACACAAACGGATTTAGATACTGTTTTATTACGGTGGTAATCGTAACGACAGTAATGACAAACGGTTATTATGACCCATTTTCTTTGATCCCTTGAACGTCATTATAAACGGTTTCTACTGTGTTAACTTTGAATAATCTAGTCTTTGACGTTTTTATTCTAATCGGATATACTTTATGGACTTAACGTAACTTTCGATCACGAAAACAAAATATTTTGCCTCGAAATGTATTACTTAAGAATATAATATAATGCCTCGAATCGTGACACAATATGTCTTCACGCAACGTTTTGTTCTCTGTCGAAGATTTAAAAAAAAAAAAATGTCTTTGTATACGGAAATAACGCATTACACGCGTCGTCGTATACCTTACCTATTCATACATATATTGGTGTACCCGCCACTCCGAGCTGACGGTACTTAAGGGAAAATACACGCGTGTTTATGATTTGACCTTTCTGAAAGCGTGGATGGTGAATGACGACGTGGTCTACACACACACACACACACACGCACACACACACACACCATCGTGAAAACTCAAGCACGGAGGCTGTACACACACAGTTGTCGTTAACAAAGGAAACCCGGAGAAAACGGTTTTCAGGAAATTCGGTCCTTATATAATATAATATATTATAAGGCTACAACTTATTCTCCTGTTCTATTCTGTGTTTACCGTCGCGTCGTTTAAACTCGATGATACTCGAGTGGGCGTGACACCGCCTTTTGCCGCCGTTTCGTCCATCTCATTCACTCCCACTCTCTCTCCCCCTCTCTATCTCCCTCTCTCTCACCCTTTCTCTCTCTCTCTCTCTCTCTCTCTCTCATTCACTCACTCAACGTGTCCCTCACTTCTCTTGTCATTTGTCAATACCTCAAGGCACCCCCCCCCACCCGTTATCCACTCCTTTTGCCACCACCGCGGTGTTTGGTCAAAACTTTGAAACGCGCCGTATTTGAATACCACCTACTAAAGATGTACCCGCGACCACCACCAAAATGTTCCCATGCTCGTCCACAATTCTTGTCGCTAACTCAGCTACAATATAGCTACAATGCCACATGGAAATCTGATAGCATTCGATCCACCGGCACACGTCTTCTTTCAACTGCTACGATCTAATCATCGTGGTAAATGTTTTTTTTTTCATTCTAAAAACTAACTACGAATATAATGGTGGACAACAATCCAGCGAGCTGAAGCAACAATGCGTCAATGTTATAATCTTGTAAGAATGCGAAGGACATGAAATCCGTGTCCTATTTTACAATATTTTACCGACAACTCGGTATTTAACGTAGATTTAATTGTGTGTTAATGGTCGAATTCACCCAACCACACCTTCGAGAATATTTGCAGTCAGAACAGACACTGCCTTTTTTCCCCCACTCCTTTGTAATGTTACAATATTATCGTGTTCGTTCAATCCACCAGTATTTAATATTTATTCGTACTCGATACAGCGCATCAACAAAAATATTGAAAATATATTGTCGTCGGAAAATATTATTTGAAAGAACAGGATCCTTCTTTTGGTGAGCATAATATAAAAAATCAATTTTTGCACCTAAATCCAGAATATCGTTTACTTAGTAATAATTCACTTGTGCTAGTGAAACATCGGGAAAACTTTGCAGCGTACACACTTTTCTTGTACATTTCTTATGCGAATTGTATTATTGAGTTTACCGATAAAGTTGTTACGTTCCAATCAAAATCAACGATATAATATTATAATACACAGTGGCACACCATGATGCTTGTCTCCACAAATACACAAATTTTGAGTTACTTAAACTCGAGGTCACCAACTCGTAAGACAAAACTATTGCCTGTAACTATGTACAGTTGATTAGTGCTCAAGAAATGTTTTTTTATATTTAAATCTTATACATTTAGAAAAGCTAATAAAGTAGTAACCACTAACAGTATGTATGACTTTTTAAATATCTTATTATAATAATTAAAACAACATACAATGTTAAAGTATTTATTTTTTGAAAAATAAGGTGTTTGGATATCCCAAATTGCTGAATAAAACGAAAAAAACAATCATTTTTGGGGACATTTACACGCGTTGTGAGACACGCTATGTAGTATAAACAAACTTAAATTACAGGATCTAAACAAACTAAACAATGTGTACAGAACAATCATAATATGCTTACGACAAAAAATTATTATTAATAATCAAAGTTCTCAAGCAGTTTTTGTTTTGTATTCTATAGCCGGTATTATTTTACATTAATAATAATAGGTAGGTGCGTTTCCGGTTTCGTCGATTTCGAATCGTCAACATTCTTTCTCTTTTTCATAATATTTTATGCACTCACAATTTCATTTGTCCGACAATATTGATTTTATAATCTATGAAAGTACATCAGTTTCTATTCTTAACAAAAATTTATTTTCAAGCGTTATTTTTGTTTATTTTTTTACTCGTTATTTTAATGTGTCAACATAGTATAGCATGCCATTACGAGTTTATTTTAACTTAAGTACATGTTAAACAGGTATATAACTAACTGCCACACCCGGCGTCGCTGGGCAAAGATTTTTCTTCGTTTTTTTTTATAAATGTAC